TTATTCTAAAGGAATTAAGGGCTGCTGAGCATGGAAGAATGCCAGGCTTTCAGAAAAAAATCTACGTTGCTGAGCATAGGCACGAGACAGGTATTTTTCCTCTTCTCAAAGCCACTTGTTTCTATGTGGATTCTGTTTGTCATCAATGCCATCAGGGCTCTGGATGCTGCACATCCACAGTATTATAACATTTTCCTGTAGGATAAGCAATTACAATGAGATGCTGCAGTGCATGAGAGGAGGGAAACCAATTGGTATGCTCTAGGCTTTTCCTGACTACATCCCTTAGCAGTGGCCATTGTCCTCATGGATTGTCCTGGACCATCAGGTGTATCTCTTGGATGGTGCAACCACCAGTTCTCCCCAGCTGCCTGCAGCTGTGGCAGAGTGTCCTGGAGAGATCTGAAGCAGAGCTAGGTCAGGCCTTAGCAAGCCTGCTGGCCTTTCAACACTCTTGTGGTCTCAACAGAGATCTTCTTATATGTTCTTCAAAGATTACCACACCAGATTTGTTCTTTTGGCCTAAATTATTTATTATTTGCATTATGCATGTCACTCCGTCCTCTGACTTATGCTCTTTTCCTGCAGAACCCTGAATAACTGAGAGCATATCCTGCTGATGGGGTCAAGAGTATTTTGTTTAAAACCTGCAGAAATACATCTCACCACTCTAAGGGGTCCAGGATCACCTTAACTAACACCAGGAAAGGGCACAGTTTGAGAGAGACAGAAGCAAATCTCCAGCTGCACAGACTAATGGAGGCTTCACATGCTGACCTGAGATTGTCCAAATGATACTTTACTCACCTGAGAGTTCAAGATTTGTGCTTTAGTTGTCTCACAGAGGGGCAGAGAGAGAGAGGCCACTGAGATCAGCCTGGCATTTTTGGATGTGCAAAGAAACCTGTGGACCCTTACACGATTCCCTGGCATTCAGGATGTTGTTCTGATCCTCTCATCAGCCCAGTATCAGCCTCACAGATTTTCTAGACCACTGCTGATGTCAAAACACTTTGCCACACTTTGAAATACAACATTACATAGGTGAAAGCAAAGAAATACCTCAGCATTTCTTTGCATACAGTTGGCTTTTCAAAAATGTTTTCTGATTTCTGATTCTGATTTCTGTACTTTGGAGACTCAGCTATTGAACACATTCAGAGGAGAAAAAATGCACCTGTGAAATATTGCATGTGATTGGAAAGAGAAAAAGCTGCTGGTTTTCCTGCATTGTGCAGTTCCCCTGATTCCACTTCCCTTCACCCCAGGAAAAAAATAAAAAGTAAAAGAACAATCAAAGTGGGACAAGAGGGTCATTTAAGTAGCATCTGAAGTCAGCACCAATCCAAGGAGCAGTCTGCTCCATGTGTACACACAATTTCTGACTGGAACAACTAACAGAGCAGAACTGGTCACCAGTTTTTAGTAGTAATGAAAGCATTTCCATTAATCTCAGTTATAAATTACAGTGAGATGGAGCCAGCTGGGCTTCCACAAGGCAGCACCTTTGTTTTCTACATGCCAATTCAATAACTGTCATCTGCCAACCCTAAAATTGTTTTTTTTTTTTTAAATGGGTTTTTATGCATCAGGATCTGAACTCCCGCAGGCTTAAGAGGAGATTCAGACCCATGCTGGCCCACAGTCTAAAATGAGCATGCAAAGCATAAGGCAGTGAGGGCTGCTCTGTGGCTGAAGCCTGCTAGTACACTTGGCCTTAAATGCCAAAATTCTACTGTTCTACAGGCCACAAATTTTGGGGGCTGGTAAAATGGTTGTTGGTGCTCTTTGCAAAGTCAAGTTAGTGGTTTAGTCATTGGCCCAGGATTTTACTCCATGGGATCTCTTAGATACCATGCTCCTGATTAATCATTTTCTTTCTACAGTGGTACCAAGCTGGTAAATTGGGCCCCAAGGGGAGCAAAATATCAAAAATTTCCAGGTTTGCCTTTCATCTGATTTTTACCCCTAAATGAAGCCTCTGTGTTGTCCTTCTTTCCCTATTCCCTACCCTTTCAGTGTCCCCTGACTCTGGGCCTTTACCCCTCTGGCTTATTTTAAACCTCACTGATGCAGAATAGCAGTCAGAAGGGGGAGGGTGGGTTGCCTGGGGGAAAAAAAGAGCCAAAGAGGACATTTCCATCTTTTTCACAGGGTCTGAGGAGTGGAAGGGTGAGTTCGCAGTGGCTCTTGCAGCAATGTTCCTTTATTCTACATTTCCTAAAACAGACATTAAGAAATAAATGTCATAATTTGAATCACTTGCCTATCTAAATATTTCTCCACCTACTTCAAGCCCCTTTCTCACAGACAACAAAGTCAAATTTGCACCCATTGAGCAAAAACTACCCCTGATTAATTTTTTACTCTTCTGTGTTTTTCTATACTATTTGGATAGATGAACAAGAGCAGTAGTTTCTTGAGATCAAAAAAGAAGCAGGGCACTGACATAGAACAAAAGTGCTGTTTTACTCAAAGGGATTTCTGTGGGAAAATGAAGCTGGCTACTGGAGCTACTTCTAAGCAACCAGATCATCATGAGATTCAGAAATACATATCTGGGGAAAATATGTCTCCCAAGCACAGCTGAATAGGAGAGGTCCAGATGTCATTCTTTTTCCATTCCAGGAAAAGGGGAAAAGGTTTCCTACAAAAACATATTTTTTCCCTGTCTCAGGAAAAGCTGTATTAATAAATAAGCATCACAGTATGAATCTCTGCCCTGGCTCCATCTGTTAAGCTAATACAAGACTCCAGAGACAGTCTTCACACAAATAGCATTAAATAGAAATGAAGAGTGGCCTGAAATTTATTTCTCAGAGCCATAAACCCAGGAAAAGAAGCTAAGTCCATGCTGCCAGGGTGAAAAACATACCCTGAATTGCTACATTTGCCTTGGTTCATTCACTGGTCGCTGCTAGTGTACAAACAGAAATTACTGAGCTTTGGTCAGCTTTTTGACTGACCAGGTCATGTTTTTTCATGTTTTTTCCATTAATGGGTGAACCACCAAGGAGTCCCAAAGCAGTTTCTGCCTCTCCCAGAGGAGCAAAGTTATCTTGAGGCACTCTTTCCCCTTGGAACATGTGAGACAGACAGCATGGAGGAGACCCAAGGCTGATGAAGCCTCTCTACGTAAATTTCTCTCCAAACACTCTCCAGCAGTGTTTTTCTGTAACACTTTCCTGATGCACTAAGGTGTGGATGCTGCACTTACAGGACAGGAGGGTGCTGAGCCATAATAAGTGGACACTACCCAGCTGAGCTTCTTTGGAAGTGAACCAGACAGCTGCAGCTGGAGGACAAACTTGGGTGAACTTGACCTGCAAAAAGAAACTGTGCTTTGGCAAGCCTACAGGTTGCTATTTCAAGAGCAGGAGGGACAGTTTTTGGAATAAAGTTCACTGTGAAAATGAGTTATGGGTAACATCTTAATTGATAAGGTAAAGTAATCCAAAAGTACAAGCTGACAGTAGGAGCACAGTCCTCTGGGATCAGTCCTAAGGATTCCCTCTATAATTGATACCTCCTTAACACGACAGCCCTTCTTTATGCCTCCTTTCTTTAAATCTCTTATTTCCCTACTTTTACTGTTCTTTTTTGTTAATTAAAAATCCTTCCTAGTTTGCATCAGTCTTCAGCTAATTTTCTAAGTGTTCTTCCTGAGTCTTCCATCTTTTCCTCATCCCCACCTCTATGATCTACTTTCTCTCTGTACATAGTCTTCTGAAACCTTGCTAATATTCATTCCTGTATCTTCATAACTGTCTAACAAGCTCTTGTAATAATGCTCAGTGTTTTGGAACTTCCAAATCCCTTCAGGGGATTCAAGAACTCTGCTTTCCATAAATTTCTTCAAGTTTTCTTCTAAGCCTTCAGCTTTGTGCATGAGAATGACCAACAATATTATAATGTCATTTTAGTAGAAAAAGCTCACTAACAACTGCATACATTAGATACTCTGAGCATGTGTGAGGTAGCTCTAACCAAGCAGAATTTCCTAGCAAATCTGCATCTCTGTGGAGATGTAGACTCCTTAGGCTATCAACTGCTTTAGCTATCTGCTCATTAACTTGTCACATCCTACCAGAGATGAGGGAGAACTCACTTCTGCTGACCTGCAGCTTCCAGAGCAGAAATAGCAAAAGGTCAACAGCTGAACACTTGTGACCAAGGGCTCTGTCTACCACCTGTGTTACTTATTTGATTGCTGAACAAAACCCCCAGCAGCCATGTCAGCAGGTTTATGCCACACATTGGACACACTCTGCACCCCAGGTTACCTTGTTCTTGCCTTCTTCAGCCCTTGTAGCCCAGGCATCACCCAGCATCTAGCAGATGCCTTTGGGGCCTCTTCACCAAGGCGAATCACTTGCCAGCAATGCACTCTCCAGCACCTTAGAGCACCATGTCCAGGCACCACCCCTCTGTGAATACAAGGCATCCAGAGCTGCCCAAACTCCAGGGTGCATTTCTGCTCTTATCTGTGGAGAGCATAACCTGTACTGTGGTCACCAATTGCTGCAGTGTTGTGAGGGTCCCCAGGACGGGGTGAGAGATGAGAATTGACTGCAAGTTCTCAGAAGGCTGATTTATTATTATGTTAAAAGAAAATTATATATTAAAACTATACTAAAGAAAGAGAGAAAGGAGACATCAGAATGCTAGAAAAGAATGATAATAAAAACTCATGACAGACTCAGAGAGCCCAATACAGCTGGCTGTGGTTGGTCATTAATGAAAAACAATTCACATGAAACCAAAGATGCACCTGTTGGTAAACAACCTCCAGACCACATTCCAAGCAAACAGATAATTATTGTTTACATTTCTTTTCTCAGGCTTCTCAGCTTCTCAGGAGAAAAATCCTGGTGAAGATATTTTTCATAAAATATGACAGTGACACTGTACAATACAGCCTGGACATACTTCCACAGTGTCTGCAAACATGCAGAGCATCCAGCACTGCCATGGGCATGGTGATGAGTCCTTGGTCCCACCCTCCTTCAATTCATGTTAATTGTTTTGCCTGGTTTCAGCCCCTTGTGGTTTGTGGACCCAAAATGCTTTCCTCCCTCCCCATCTCCATGCTGGGCTTCTCTATATCCTGCTTGTAACCATGGGACTGAGTTATGGGCTGCATAATGTGCAGGAACCTGTTCACATGAATTGGCCTGGCACACAATGCTCCTAGAAGCTATTTAATGCTTCCTGACTGGATGTCTTGCTACTTGCATTCTGAACAGCTTTCAAGCTTTCTTCTATGTCCTCCCACTGAGAACTATTAATGTCCACCCATGACCTCTGCTTCTGGGCCCTTGCTTGCTGCTTCTCCTCCCACCAGTCCCTCCAGCACAGAGGCTGCAGGCTGACACCCTCTCTAGCATCCCAAATCTCTCTCTTTCTCTCCATTTTGTAACATTTTCCCTTTTGGTTGCCAAAATGTCTCCCTGTCCCCAGTGCCATCTCATCTACTGATTACTTCAGAAACTCACACATCACTTCTGTCACCATTTCCATATGAAAGTGTACAGTTTCTATGACAAAGCTGTCATGGCAACTTGAAATTTGTCAGATTTTCACATTATACACAACCTGCAAAACTGCATATTATTAAACATGTTCTGATGCTCCCAGTTACTTAAAAATTATTCCATTGCCAAATCCCCCTGCTCTATTCAGTCAACATTTGTCATCTGGAAGAAAACTTCCACATCAAGTTGCTGTTGCTTCAGGGCATTGATGAAGGAGGGTGCTCTTCTGTCATGCTTGCAGCAGACTTGAAGTAGATCAAAGCCTCTAATACTTTTTTGGCTCATCTGGTGGATGAACTTAAGAGCTGCAGTAGGATGGGCTACAAGGGAACAAAATCACTTCTGCACACATCTTAAAAAATACCTTAAAAATGTCATACAGTAGCTGTTGTCAACATTTTTGAAGGACATTCCTTGTTAACATTCACATTTTGTTCAGCTACAGTCAAATAAATGCATACTGATGATAGACCTAGACACAAATCAGATAGTCCATAAAACCAACACGAAACTCAGGTGGGTACTAACAATCCTGAGTTCCCCTCCCTGGAGCACACAGAAGTGCTATGTAAGCCTGGCAGAGCCAGGCATTTTGTACACATCTGTGTTGCTTTAGTGACATTTCATTCACTACTTTTATTTCCCATTTCATTTGACTTACAAACACCTATTCTGAATCTGGCTCAACCTCCTGTTGGTGGCAGATGGATTTTCCTTTATTTTTTATTAGGCAATGAGGTTTAGGTGTGGGGAGAACATTTTATTTCCTTTCTGATTTTAGCTTCAAGTGTAAGCATATGCAAGTATTTTTCCATCTGTTACCTGATTTTCTTCTTCATAAGCTTCAGACATTACTGGAACTACTTCATTTTGAAAAAAAGTTCTTGTTGTAAGAAAGAATACTGAGGCTGCTGACGCTTTTCCCTGTGGAAAGATAAAAGGTTTAATCAGGTATAATGCATCAACTGACTTCCAATTCTTAAATTCCCCAATTTTTAACTGCCAAGAAACCTTTTTATTGTACAAAACCTATATTAATAAATTAATAGTTCATGAATCAATTTTCAAGAATTAAAATTAAAAATTGCTTAATAAATTGTTTAATAAAGTGATACATCAGCTTGTTTTTCCTCCTCCGTATGTAGGGTGACTTCTGGTTTTTTCCTTTTTTTTGATGAAAAATCACATTTGCTCTGCGTTTTCTGGACAACTTTAGCCATTACCTTTTGTTTTTGAACCTACTGGGACATTCTGGGAAAAAATGCCCATGAGAAGGAAAAAAATGTATTGAAAATTTTGTACCTATTTCTAGATTTGGGTTGGGCAGTACAACATACATTATTTTCCCTCAGCCATTCAACCTCCACCAAGCTCAGCAGCATCCTTAGGTTCTTCTTTGGCATTATCAAGGAGACATTATTACAGTTTTCTCCATCATTTCTCAGGAGATGTCATTATTTTGGAGTATCTGCAGGATATCCACTCTGATGTGATACAAATCCATTCCTGTGTTAGTAGATTCTGAATGCAAGAGTGGCTGTGGATAGGTTATTTCCCAGACAGGATTATCTGACCTGAATCCTACCCCTCTAATGAAGTCAGAAAGTCAGTTTTTTCTCTGCACTGTGTTTAAGCCCTCCACAACAAACTCCATGGCCTCATCCCAGTGACAGTACCCATGCCTTCCCTATATACTCACATTTGTTCCTCTCTGATTTCACCAAGTGAGCAGGAAAATAGCAATGGCAGTTCTGACTGACTACTAAAGGAATTATTACTTGACAAACATCAGTTTCCTGGGTGAATGCCTTTACTTTCTAGGACTTCTACCGTGTAACAACTTCTATGAACTTTCCACCCTCCACATACTCTACAGCAGCCCCATATTACCACCTCCTTCCTTGATAAGTCACAGTGTTTCTCAGCTTTTCCTGCCAGGATATCCAAAGCTGTACCATCTATCAACTTTCATTTCTGTGATCTTTGGCTTGAGTTTCTGATTTTCACCTTTGTCTCTTTATGGTGAACATTTCACATCCTCTTTCAAGGCCTCCTTTGGCTCTGCTATAGCATCTGTCAAACCCTGAACAACTGAAGCTGCAGTCTTTTCTTGTCGATGTTCTGTTTTTAAAAAAGAAAAACAACCAAAGAAAGCCCTAAACTGCCAACCCACACTCAAACATACACACACAAGCACGCGCTCATATGCAAAAGATGTAGTGATTTCCAAACCTCTTTCAAATCCTTCTGATTCATTTATATAATAATTTTTCAGAAGGATTCAATGCCTGGTGCTGCCAAATACTTACCCATGCATCTTTCCAGAAGACCTAGTATCCCACATCTGTTATGTCCTGCTCCAAACATCTCTAGTTCATATTTTTGAGATCAGTAAGAGGCCAGTCTGAACACTGGATGCAAATAGCACTGTATGTGTCCCTCTGGGATCATCAGAGTCTTGACCTCCCTGTATGTTGCTAACTTTACAAACTCTTGCAAAATCCATTCCTACATCAACAATAGTCATGTCTAACCTTTTCAGTGCCAGAGTAGGTCCCATTAACTTTGGTCAGTTATGATAACTTTGCATTGCAAAGGCTTTTCTAGCAAAAGATGTAGTAGGGTTTTCCAGTGTAAGTGGTATTCTCACTCAGTGATTTTCTCCAGCCTTTCTCCCTTCTTGCATGATACACAGTTTCCTCTCACTTACTACAACTGCATTCAGATCTATTGATCATTGTACACAAGTGGTCTCTTTTTATTGAACTTGCTAGTGACTGATGAGGCTTCCTCCAGCACAGAAGGACTTTGGCTCTTTGTAAATGTTGTAAAGAGATGCTGGGAAAAAAAATTCAAGAATCCAGTGTTGTTTGGAAGAGAAGCACCTGTCTCAAGTGAAGAGGCAAAGACATTTCCCAGGAAGTAAACAAAACACTATGGTCAATAGGAAAGCAGAGTGCTCCATCTACAACTTATCAGAAGTCAAAATATCTGCTGAATTCTACCTGAGGGCAACATTACACAGGGATGGTGTCTTCTGAACTTCTTCCTCATGAGTGAGAATGGAGGCATGGAGGGATGGAGCAAATGGCAAAAATGGAAACATGGATAGACAATGAAGATAACAAGAAAACTGGTATCAATAGGATGGTGGAAGAGAATAGAAGTTCTATTGAGAAGGAGTATATCCTGTTCTATCCCCTAAAAACTCATCCTCCTCTAAACTCTGCTACTTTGCTCTTCATTTTATGTCTTTGCTCCTTTCTGCTTCCTGGATTCCTGGATTATCCTGTCCCTGCTGCAACATTTATATCTGGTCCTTGTATTCTGCAAGACCATTTTGCCTCTGAGATGAAAAACCCTTCCTCCTTTCCCTGTATTGTTTTAATTCCCTAAAACTCCATCTCTCATCAATACTTCCAAGCCCATCATATTTCCTATTCTTCCCACAAGACACTCTTTTCCTTTCTCTGTAAAAGTTTCTTCTTTTGAGGATGGCAGATTTGCTTTTTCCCAATTCCCACCAAAACACATTCTTTTCTGTTTTTACCTGATTGCTCTTTTTATGCAAATCATTCCAACTTCAGCTTTTCCGTCTTAAAATTATTTGCTTCATCTACTTCCTGGCTAGAATCACAGAACAATTTGGATTGGAAGGGATCATAAAGATTATCTAGTTCTAATTCCCCACCACAGGCAGGGATATCTTCCATTAAATGAGGTTACTCAAGGACCCATCCAGCCTGGCCTTGAACAATTCCAGGGACCGGTATCTACAACTTCTCTCTGCAACCTGTTCCAGTGTTTCACCACCTTCACAGAAAAGAATTTCTTCCTTGTGTCTCATCTAAAGCCACTACAGGCCCTTGTAAAAGTCTCTCTCCAGCTCTCTTTCAGCTCCCTTTAGGTACAGGAAGGCTGCTCCAAGGTGTCCTCGGAGCCTTCCCTTCTCCAGGCTGAACAACCCTAGCTCTCTCAGCCCGTGCTCAGAGGAGAGAGGTTCCAGCCCTCTGGGAGTTTTGTGGCCCTACTGTGGATGTGCTCCAGCAGGTCCATGTCCTTCTCATGTTGGGGGTCCTAGAGCTGGATGCAGCATTCAGGGTGGAGCTCCTGTCACAAGAGTAGAGGAACAAAATTACCTCCCTGGCCACACTGCTGTGGATGCAGCCCAGGACACAGCTGGATTTCTGGGCTGCAAGTTCACATTGGGTCATGTCAAGCCTTTTGTCAACCAACACCCCCAACTCCTTCTCCTCAGGGCTGCTCTCAATCCATTTTCTGCCCAGTTTATTTGTGCTTGGGATTGCCCAAGCCAGGTGTAGGACCCAGCACTTGCCTCTGTGGTCCATGAAGTTCATACAGGTCCATCTCTCAGGTCCAGGTCCCTCTGGATGGCATTATTGCCTCCCTCCAGTGTGCTGACTGTACCACACAGCTCAGTGTCATCAGCAAACTTGCTGAGGGTGTGCTTGATCCCACTGTACATGTCACTGACAAAGGTGTTATACAGTCCCAATACTTGGCCCCTGAGGAACACCACTCATCACTGTTCTCCACACAATATTTCACTCTCCTGCCCAACCATGTCAGCCATACTTTCTCTCTCTCAGGCTCCCTCTCCTCTTCCAAACCTAGCTCTAGATTCTCCTTCCGACAGATCCCATTCTCCTTTCTCCTCTGAGATGTCCTCTAAGGTTTGCTTTCACCAGCTTTCCCCACAGATGGTTTTCTCTCTGTAAAAAACCCTAAATCCACCTGCAAATTTCATCTTGTACTTAGTTCACTGAGCCCTTTCCTCACTTATGTTCAGCTCTTTTCAAGCCTTTTGGTGCTGCAAGGCCAGCCAGGACATTCAGTAGCATCTACTTCAGCAGTCTCAAAAAGATGCTGAGCATAGTTTCTCAAAGGCTGAGTCACTGTTCCACTGACACTATTTTACCTCTGCCCACTCTTGGACAGCTCATTTAACAAACAAGTGACCATTTTGCTCTACTGACACCAACAGAGAGCTATAGGGCACAACCAACAGAAGAAGGTATTCTAATTGTAATATCAGCTCAGTACAGCATTTTGCAGCTCTTTTCCTTTTGATTTAGAAACCCCACATGTTCTAATAACACTGAATGTTTCATGTGTTTTGTTGGTCTTGTTTCATCTCTAAGTCCCTTCTGCAAACTTTAACTTTGTGCTTCAACAAACAACACTAAGAGGGATATTAAAAGTCAGTCCAACTTGAACTTACATATTGCTACAGCACTTACAAAGGAACTTGCACAAACTGAGTAAATAGACTCTGAATTTATTGTAAGACAAAGATAACAGGCAAAATGATGCCAGCAAGAGCAGGCAGTATGCCAGTTTAAGATATGAATGATGTTTGGAGGATATGCTATCTATATTCAAAAGAAACTGGATTCACAAGTTCAAAATATCTATAAAAATAAACCTAATTCAGTGGATTAAACCAGACATTCCATTCTGCTAGCATTCCTGGGTTGTTTCCATTCAACAAAGAGGTTTAAAATATACAGGTATTACCTGTTTGAAGTGTCAGAGCAGAATGTGGTGCTCACAGCACTTAACACTAGCATTTGCTATTCCAAACCTCAGACTTACACACTGCAGGGGAAGCATACAGGACTGCAAGAAAAACTTTCTTTTCATGTGACAAGTGCAAAAAATTGAGTTTGCCAATCCGTGATGTTCTTGTTTTGCATGGAGCTTTGAGATGACACCTTTACAGCCAGTCAGGGTCAAGATGAACCATGACTGTGTCTCTGAGGATGGAAGTTCAGCCTGTGGCTGTGGGCTGCATTCCCAATAAGGCTGGTACAGTGAACTCAAATTAAGTCAGCAGGCAGGAAGCATAGCTACCATACCTAAATCCTGACATTGCCTAAAGCTGAAATAGCACAG